AAAAGCTCATTATGTGCCTACAATGTTACCTGTAGATGTATTTATTGCGTGTTAGAGTTATTATAATGTTGATTGGTTTATATTTAGAATACTGGGATAAAAAAAAATGTGTTCAAAATTTTAATAGAGTTTAGCTCGATATTAACTGGTATTTAATAGCAATATTCCATGTTTCGATTAGCATATTGACACTGTTGATATTTTTTGTTAAACTAGGTTTACAATGCTATTTGACCAAAGTCAGTATTAGTTGTTAACGTGATGGTGAGTTGTTGGAGCATTCGAGTCATTGCTAAGCATAAACGATGTTTTGATATGCAATATTCCCATCATATCATGTTTTACGGTATATGGTACTGATGTATGAATTAAGGTGAACATTTTGATGTTATGTCGTTTACATTGTTTGTTAATGTTATTGAAATATACCTGTCAAATTACGTAGTGTGATTTTTATATGAATATATCGGGGTTTACTTGGTAGAAAAGTTTAATCAAAATATAGCTATAGTATAATAACAAGCCTGAGAGTTTTTCTTTAATCCCGTTTCCCAAACTCCACCGTTTCGCGTATCTCTTAGGTGAGTCTCGTTTTCGTTACGTAGATGTTTGTGAGTGTTAACAGTGCATGTGTGCATGAATTACGATCATATTTACGAATACCCCACACAGCTCTCATTTTCAACTCGCGCATGCTCCGTCGATTTGATTTTCCTTTTCTTTTTCGTTCATACTAATAAAATTAATAATTTCAGGTAGACGAGAAAACCCACGGGTCGGGAGACTACATATTAACAAAAGTACGTTAAATACCAAAATATATCGGCATCGTCGATCGATAAAAATAAAACGGTAACCTCTCTTCGATCTGAAACAAAAGAGCACCTAAATTTATAGACATTGTAAAAACCGTTCACCCGGTCGAAGCGATTACTCAATCGGGACTAAATAAACGTTTACCATTTTCTTTTTGTTCTTTTTTTTTTATTTTTTCCTTGCAACGCTTTCATCACAGCACTCGGTGATATTCACAGTAGATCTATAATATGTATCACACTCGTATGTATTCGTATCTAAGTACGTATGTGTACGTGTATATGTATGTATCGTATATGTGGTATGTGTGTATCGTCTGCGTATATAATAATGTATGTATAGGACGTATTTAACACGTATGTATGTACAGGTCGCGCGGGTAGAGTGGCGTGGCGGCTGCGTTGTTCTGACTCGGTGTGTGTCGGGGTTTGTTGCAGGGCCAGGTTGTGGCGTGGAGGACGTGTCTTTCACTAGGATCGGCGGCCTGTCCTGGGAGCAGTGGTCGGCGCGCCTGGCGCTGCCCCTGGTGGCGGGCATGCGCGCGCTGCCCCCCTCCCCCGCGGCGCCCCCGCCCGGCCCCGGCGAGCCCGCCTTCACGTGCCCCGACTGCGGCCGCGTGTACAAGCTCAAGTCGTCGCTGCGCAACCACCAGAAGTGGGAGTGCGGCAAGGAGCCCCAGTTCCAGTGCCCGTACTGCGTGTACCGCGCCAAGCAGAAGATGCACATCGCGCGCCACATGGAGCGCATGCACCGCGAGGTGCACGTCAAACCGGAGCAGTACATCAAGCAGGACAACGTGGACGCGTGCACGTAGGGCACACCCCCCCCCCCCCCCCCCCACTCGTGTAGTAGTCGTCCGATCGATCGCGTTTAGGTCTGTTTTAAATAAATCGATCGCCATCGGCGGGACGATGGTTTTTAAATGAATGTTGACGTTTTATATATTTCTCGTTGCCGCTTTGAAAGAAATCGTTTGGAGAGATTATACGTTTTTAGAGATGTTTACTCATACTGAATGACGATTCCCCGAGTTTATTCCGATTGTGATAAATGTGATGAAATCTCTTATGTGATAGTGGCGTAGGACGGTCACGTTAGATGTAATGTCTCCTCGGTAGCTCCGAGCGGTGCCTTCGATTGTTACCTACTCAGTTCTAAATGTTTTAACGTACATCCCGACGTCGAGAACCACCGAACGAGTGGTGGTTTCGATATCTCGACGAGTCGCTCCCGGTATTCGGACATTGTAGTGACGTCGCGGTCGCGGTCGTCACGGTGTACGCGACCGATGCATTTATCCAGTACGTTAAGTTGAAACTGATTACGTAGTTACGTTCTTATTATATATTTTTATATGTACAGCATTTATTATGTGAACTATCATTCCTGGTTTAATTGTAAGGCTTGAGATTTTTGAAGTACAATTTGTTTCGGTTAAGATTGTTACCAGTTACAGTTACTCTTGAAAAATCATATCTTTCGAAATGTATCGTTCGAACCAGTCGTAGGTTAGGTTATAAACGACCAAGCGAAACGTCATATCATAGTACTCGTTCGTGAATGATCATTAAATTATGTTCAAACTCATTAGGGTATATAATTATGTAGAAATATCGTCAAATCAAATTCGTGTTTAAGTTATATTTTGTAAATTGATAGTTTTAGTTGCAAACGACGCTATTTTCGCTTAGGTAGCAAGCTCTAGTTCTTTGCCATAATGCATGTTCCCTTATATAATTGTAATACTCATGTAAGTTAATTTTTATTCAGTTATTTTTAGATCTCTTTACGTCTTATGCATTTATTTTATCTCTTTATTAGACTTATAAATTTATACGAGAATTTAGTGTGGAAGATATTGTTCCTCATGGAGGGTGTCTTGTTGTAGTTTTCTGTGTAAATGAGGCCAAGTAGTGTTTGATACGACAAATGATGACGACAAGTGCCTAAATATATTTTATCAGTCCTCGTCGAACAAAAGACACTGCCATTGTGTTATTATGAATTTTACTAGTGCACAATCGTTCTATATTTGAGAAGCTCCCGATCGATTCTCTTCCAGATAGTAGTAGAGTTATAAGTATTTTATACGCATTACCATTTAGAAATTATAAGGTTAGGGTTGGTTTGTGTCATGAACAATCACACCGCGACACTTGCGCCCGGTTGTCGAGAAACTAACTCTCTACGCTATTTTAGAACAATTTGTTCTTCATTAGAAGCGGAAAGGTCGATCCGTTATATTTTTTTCTTTCAAATGTTGGAAAATGGAAAACTAAAGTTTCTGCTCCGAATATATATACAGAAATTTGGATCTGATGTTAACGTAATTGTGGCGTTTCAACAACGGCTCTATTTTACATAATTCTTGTTCTTAAAACATATCGATTTATCAAGACAACGTATTACATTCAACACCACTACAGATTATCACAATATGTTAAGATTGTATTGAGATTGAATATATCAGGAGGAGCAATTTGATAGTTTTGTATAATCTGCAGTAAAAAAAATATTATTGAAATGCCATTTATTACGTTAACATTACCAGAATCGAAGCCTAGATTTCAACATTTCTTATAACCTTATGTGCTACTGAATGTACATAAACAGTAATGATTCATTCAAAACAAAACTAAGACAAACCCATGTATGACTAAAAATAATATAATATCATCCTGTCTCGTCATCACTTGATTGAATTGCTATACGTATTTTTCATACGTATTCCATCTTTTCTTTGAACTTCTTCACAGTTTTTAATTCTGGATGTTTTCACAACTTTTTGGTACATGGAACTCCCTCTATTTATATTGTTTGTAATATTGTATACAATGAAATGACTCAAATCTTGAATAAGAAAAGATTATTTTCTGACTTAAGTGTTAGTGTACACACAGCAGCTCATCGGAATTCTAAGAAAGGCCAAATTTCTGCAATCAATTAATAGCTTTACGAATAATTTGTTAAGGCATTTGCATTAGTTAAATACTTAAAGCAAAACTAGAGCGGTGCGATTGTTCTGATCCTTCACCGAATTAGTTTATTTTTATCCGTTTGAGTTACCATCATGCAATCAAAATGTAAAAACTCACAGAGTACAACCAACTTAAGTCAGTATAAAACTAAGTGCCTTCAAATATTTAGTCATTAGATGTTAAAATGTTCCGGTTTATATAAATATTATTGGTTGACACACACATTATGTTAACGAATCGTTGCAAAATTTCTAGGTTGTGATTTTTATCAACAAAATAAGTTACCTTTAAACTTGATGATAGATTACTTAAAATCAATTTAATGAAATCATTTAATTAAGACAAACAGGTTCATGGATTTGTTTCAAGTGAGTGTATTAGTGTACATTCGAAGTGTATGTTGTCTGATGGATATCTACTGTGATATTACTTCCTTTTTCTGAAACAGTGGCTTCCTTCAATTCACTGAATTATCAGACGCCACGAGTAACGTAATACCGTAACAGTATATTATTAAAGTAAACGACTTTCCAAGTGATGTTATAAAAACAATATAGTTGTAAGTAAGAATTGCTGCCTAGAATATTTTTGTAATTACTGGTAGATTATATTCTACCTTGTAATCTGTCTTGTAAGTCGAAGTTACAGTGATTAAATGCATTTGATTGTATTTTTATAACCTTTTTGTATTTTAATAAAGTTGCTATTCTTGATATGATCTTGTTTTTATGTAAAACGTTTTACCGCGAATTTGTATTGTTTAATGTATTTTATAAATATGGGTATTTTTAACAAAGTTATAAATATCGTGGGGTTCATTGGGTTGTTTGTCTTGGAATATTATTTGCATGCTGAAAGTTACCTTATTAACTAACAATCTTCATCTATAGAATTAAGATACACGTATATAAATGTATAGTTATGGGGAGTAAAGTGTACAGCATAAATTATATTTAATAATTTATCTAAAGGATGGCTGCATGAGAAGTGAATAGTTATTATAATTATATTTAGATATAGATATACATATAACCTAATACATACATGTAGACAACATACAGAGCAAATTAATGGGAGACATGGTGCATTATCCTCTTGCTTCGATGTTAGCACGACCTTTATATAAAGGCGGCTTGGCTTCACATAGTATGGTGGTAGCTTAGTATTATTTGCACGTATTTATTTTTATTTGCCTTTTACTTTCAGTTGCACAGTTTTACACTCCTTATATATTGGGTTATGGTAACCCGGGTTTGAGCAGCGGTAAGGCCGGGTGGACACTGTATGAATGCGTGGATTGTGGAAACAAATATAAGCACAAAGGGTCGCTCCAGCGGCACATAAAGTATGAGTGCAGAAAACAACCGAGTTTCAAGTGCCCTTACTGCGTGTACCGAGCCTATCAGAAGCATAATCTATTGCTGCACGAACGACATCTACATAAAGACTTGCCGGAGAAAGTGGACTTCGTGTCAGAATGACCCGCCGAGGTGTCAATGTCAGTAAAATTATACAAATGAGTGTCTACTAACAATGCCGTTTGGAGCATGATCTCTTTGTTGATGAATTTCGAAATTTATGATCATTAGCAGAATACTTTGCAGTATTCCAAAGACTATTTTTGCTTCAAGTTCACTACTTTCAAATTCCTGGGGCACAGTCTAGTCTTTTTAATTCAACTCTTACCAAAACCAATTTCATGAAGCCTATTCTGAACTTTAATAATTTTTATGGATTTATAGTTTTATGGCCTCTATTACTTCTAACAGCATCTTAACATTAGTGTAATGCTTGCTTTTTAAACACATCGCATGTTTTATTTATACCAAGTTGGTGGTTTCCTGTCTGTTATGACTGTTTGAGTAATACTCCATATTGTTTCTGTTACAGTTGTAATAATTTGCAATTTTGCAAACGCTGAATGAGAGTTTAGTCAACCTCTTACTTATACAAAGAAGACTTCAAGAATCCAAAGGAGATAATTATAGAAGTGTTATTTATAACGTTATATATTTGCAAATAATTTATACTTAATTGCCAAAGAATGACCGGTTATGTTTTCATGTTACTGGTTAATCTATATTATTAAAAATTATTAGATTTTTTTATATAACGACTGTTTCATCTCGCTTTAAGAACATGTTGTGTTGAATCATGTTTTTCACGATTATACGCCCCAATTTGCTAACTGAAGTTATAATATAGTGTTAGTAGATCCTTCGAGCCGGATATAAAGAAATCTTTTCTAACATATTATGCCACCAAATTTGATGCAATTGATTGCAATGAAATCTCATAAATATTTATCTTTCTATTTAAGATGCGTCCAACATTTGCATCCTATTTTATTTAATTTAAAAGATTGGCGTTATTAAACTAACATAATATTAAGTATACCGTGGCAGCTACGATGTTCCTTTTTATTTGCCGTTATTTAACTCGAAAAAGATAATATTGTATAAAATATCTAACATCCAAATTAAATTAGCTCATGATTTAGTAAGGCAAAATATTCTGTAAAATTGTATGTAGTACGTAGTATTATCTCTTGTAGCACTACTTAATTAATATTTCATTAGTAGAAGTTAATTACAATAAAGACAATTTTATTGACATCAGTTGTGGGTAGGTATCACATAATTATATATTTCAACAAAAACTGGTCAATTCTATCATCACACAACTGGTGTTTGTAATTAGTTAGGATAAAATAAATAGCTGCCATTAAACGAAGATTCCGATGTATCGATGAATATACACACTAATTATATATTAAATTATCAAATTGCTTAAACTTGCTGCCCCACGGTTATATAATAGTATTTTTTTCAGTTCAATTCGCAACCAAATGATCATTAATTAAAGAGTTGTGATGTTCGCCCGACATTCGTGTGATTAACGGACCAATAAATTATTAAACAACTTATAATAAAACTATTAATAAATAATGTTGAATTATCAATTTGTTACAACTAAAGAAGGTATAAAAAAGTTAATTTATTAAAAACCGTAGGGCAACATGGAACAGACGGATCATTGAATTTCTTAATATATTCTGATTAGCAAATAGATATGTGAACTGTTAATTTTTCATGCGAGTTATTGCAAAGGACTATAATTAAGAAGTGTTACGCAAGACATTGTATGTTTTCGATTATTTTATATGCTTATGTGTTAGTCGGTATTTTTTTAAGTAACTATACATATTGTTATATATTTTCTTGTTCTTGTTATTAATGTTTTAGCGTGTGTTCCTTGTTACCAAAGATATAATAACTGTACAGTTTTGCCATACTTAATGTTTGTATTATGGATACAGTATTCTTGTTAAATTGTATATTTTTTTGCATTTGTTACTGTTATCTAAGTTACCTTATAAAGTGCAAATTATAAATTCTGCAATATTTTAAACCAAAGAATGATGCAGTCAATCCTCAGGATTGGTAATGTAAGTGCCTTAAAATACAATGAAAATGATGATATTGTTTTCTAAGAAAAAATATTTTTATAGTTAAGGAAACAAGTTTTGTAAGTTTTTTAAGATGAAAGTGTGGATTGTTGAAACTCCACTAATATAATATTTTCAGTGTTTATTGATTTGAATGGAATATATAAGTAAGCTTAGAAATAAGGAAACTTGTTACGTAATAATATTTAAAAAAACATGAACCCACCCACCAAGATAAGATTTTGAAAAATATTTGTTAATAATTATAATTTAACTAAACCAAATAACGAGACAATTACAAAAATATGTTTCGAAACTACCACTCGATTCTAATAATCAATCACATAGGCAGCTGGTGGCTTATGGTACAGTCGACTGCACTCGGGTTATTTTAAACAGTAATGCATAGTAGAGTAACATTTATTACTTTCTGGTAACCTGATGTGCTGATATTCCAATTTAAATATTAGTTTTTGATTAATTGAATATAAATAAATTTGATAAACTAATTATGTGCCTTCAGAGTCGGCATATTTATCATACCAATATTTTGAGAAATGGCTGTTCACTTTCGAAAATGTAATTCCTTAATTGTACAGTCGACAACACGTCAGGTTATACAAAACTCTTCAATTTCCCCCACTCGATTATAACCTAAATATATTATAGTCATAGAGCCAAAATCGATAGCGGAAATTCGACATATTGTCGTAGCCTCACGTGCGGCCTCAAATGGGAAATATAATTGATGCATAATAATATTATAAATACCAATACGTAGAGCTCACTCCGTGTTTTCGAGTTTCTAATTTTCTGCAAGAATATGCAGATCTATAAATTCACTATTCAGTAAATTTTTCAATGAACCATAAGAAATGTACCTTTACATTTAACAAATTAATATTAAAAGATGCTTAAAGACCAGATGACAGAATCTTACAAATATTATTTTAATAAAAACCTTATCAGACTTCGAATTGTCTTATGGCGGGTACATTAAAATTTGTACCTATGGAATGCCATCTTTAGTTTCAGAAGGAAGTACCAATAAATTTGATTAGCGATTTAAATCTAATTAGATATTGAGTGATTATTGAAAATAATAATAAGATCATTAGCAATAACGATAAGTTGATGGTATTAACAATATAGTGAGAAAATAGCACACAAAATCTATTAAGTAGATTTATTTTGTTTTTCAGTGATATGAAGTGTGTTTGGTTTGTTCTTTTTTAAACAAGATTTATGCATGCGAATAAATGTTCTCAAATTTTAACTTGTTGGTTTATCTCCGACCCTCTAAGAAATAATAATATATTTATAAAGCGATAAATATATTATATATATTAAATATATATTAGCGATAACATTATTTAAAATAATGTTGTATTTGCTAGATTATGGGCATAGCGCTATGCAGGCAGCCAAACATGGCCGCCTTAATTCTAAGTATTATAACGCGGTGCAACCAACTAATGCAACTCAAGCTACAGAATTTTTAGCATGAGACGGGGAGAAATGGCTATTCTTGTTTCGCGCAGCTTTTGTTTTTAATACGGCGTTTAAAGTTAAATGTCCGGCAGTAGCGTAACTACAGGGTAGTAAGTCGGCCATATGCCACGGGCCACGAATAGTATAGTTATGCCACTGCTGTCCGGCCTGATACAGCGCAGTCGGGATTTTTTATTTTAGAAGATGGCTACCCTACATTAGCATGAATACAGCTAAATAGTCACTAAATTTTGTTAAGACTGATCCTGGAATTCGCTGAATATAGTTGTCCGTAAAATCAAAAACGAGCACATAACATGTTATTTAGAAAAAAATCTTGATTGTTGCAGGTGATGTGGAATTCTTTAAAACGATGATGCAAAACATGTTGCCGGTTGTACCAATGAAGACAAAAAACTATTGGTCACAATATGACATGTCCTACGAGTGTGAGAAGTGCAAGAGGAAATATAGACACAAAAGCACATACAGAAGGCATGTCACTTACGAATGTGGCAAAGAACCAATGTTCAGATGCCCTTTTCTAGATTGTACATATAAGGCCTACCAAAAAACCCACACCGATGCACACATCAAGACCAAACATAAATTAATGGCCTTAGAATATAAGCGATGATGCACCAAAATAGATGAGTATTAAAATTGTGATATTAAAGTTATTTTTATCTAAATATAATCTTTTGAATTATTTATATAAATTTATTTTTTCTCATTTTTTTTATTTCATTTATGAATTATTTTTCTCACTGCATTATTGTTAAAATAGGTAACCCGCCTAAGGTACTGTTAGAGTGAGCCTCTCCGTTAGGGTTTTAAAAAAATTAAAATACAAATAAAACGACGAAATAGTATGAAACAGTGGAACTAGCAGCGGTCACGGAGGTTGGAATGAGACTGGCGCGCTCGGGATGCGGGCGCGCCGGCTACAGGGCGAAAATGCAGACGCGGTGATTTATTGGGGTTGTATGCACTTTAGTATACATCTAAGGGATGTAACACCTCCCCCCATTAAGAATAAACTTTAGGGTTAATACTCTGAAGTTTATGAATGATTCTAAAGGTAAAGTGTCTAATTTATTTATGATATTAATATTCTATTTTTTATGTAAGATTTATATTTTACTACGAATTTTAGGAGAGGCCGCGATTTTTGTCTTTTCAGATTCTAATTCTAAGGATGTTGATTCTATAGTTTGATTTTCTTTATTTTTCCTCAATTCCTTTAAAGGCATAACGATTTCTAATTGTTCGTGAGGGCTGCTAGTTCTTTTTATTTTCTTATATAATTTATACAAACAAAATGAAATTACAATTATTAATAAAAATATAATTAGTGTGGAATAGTGTGTCCCATATTTTATGAAGTGAGGTTTATTGATAATCTCATTAAGATCGTTTATGGTTTTTTCATTTAAACCTTGTGGGAAATCTAGAGTTTCTGATTCGATGTTATTTAATTTCACTATGGGAACACTATCCTTGATTTCCTTAAATCTATCTATGTTACAACAGGAGTCATTTACCAAATTAAAATCTATACTTAGTACAGGTAGCGTAATATTTAAAACATTGTAATCAGGTAAAAGCTTGGTGCTTCTACAATAAGCTTTACAATAAGTGGGAATAGTAATAATTCCAGTGCCCAATACTTTTAGATCATTCGGTTGGGTATGGCGACAATCTATAGTTAGTTTACTAGATTTGGATTGTACAAATATCCACCTATTATTCCGTAATGGTTTCCATACATCTAGTTCACCATTTACAAATTCTGTTTTACAATACACTGGAAGGTTTGTAACAATTTTTGATAATAGTTCACTTTCACAGTTAGGGTTGGCAGATGTTGGAAATATGTTCATGATTTTACATAGGTAGTTTTGATAATTGATATTCTTACAATTTTCTAGATCATTTATAGTTGTGTAGTGAGTTTTATCTTTTGTTATATCTATATATTTACTAGATGGGATTATCACACTGAACGAGTTTGGATTCGACACATTATGAGGAATTGGCAAAGGAATATTGTTATATAAATAAAATTCTAACGAGTTAGTAAGAGGGATTGTTAGTATAAACATGATTTTCTTATTAATATAAAAAAACAAGTTAATTTAGAAATGTTCATAATTAAATGGATAAGGCTTAAATCTAACTTAACGGCTAATTCCAGATCGTCTGGTATATATTTCACATTATCTGTTAATTCTAAATACAATTCCTTGGGTGTAATTATGGATGGATGGATGGATGACGCTTACATGACTTAGTAGAATTGCATTGGTAATATTTTCTAATTGGAATGATAATGAAAGCATCGCTGTTTCGAGGTAATTCAAAAGTATATTTAATTCCGTATTAATTGATAAGTTATTGGTTAAATTGGAGAGTTTTCCGAATAGTGCAGTTAATTTATCTATTGCGATGTTAAGGTTTTCTTCATTAAGCTTTAATTTGTATAATGTTTCGTTATGTCGGTAAAGAGTCGATCTTGTGACCATAATATGGTCCTTCATAATAGAGGCCACCCTCTTTTGGTCAATTTGGATATTGTTAATGGCATTATCATATTTAATGGCGTCATCCTCATCCAGTGTTCCGAATATTTGTCTGAAGGCGCTACCGATTCCTCCGAACCATGCCCCACGTTTAACCTTATTGTCAATTAAATGGGCGAAAGAAGAATATACCTGGATTAAATCTTTATATCGCGTATCGAGTGGGGAGAGAAGATTCCTACATTGTGTTTTTTCAATGATCTCAGATTACTGACAGAAATATCGAGTGGTGCTTAAAATAGAATTGATGTTAGCAAGGTGTGGTTCTACATAAGATATGTCTATAGGGATAACTACTCTAAGATGGCCGTTTATAGCCTTGGCTCTGCCAATAAAATCAAAATAGATACCAGGGCTTGACGTGATGTGTTCAATTAGGCTCGATGCCGTTGAGGTTGCTACACTGGAACCAATTATAATATTGTAGTTTATTATTTAAATCACTATCTACTTGTCTAAAATAGTTTTAAGGAAATAAGAAATGCGATATAAAATTAATTGACTTATTTAAAAAAATAATAGTAAAATCTAATTAATAACGATAAAAGAGGAAAATATAAAATTAAGTAAAATATTAAAATTAACATATTAAGATTACAGATAAAATTTAAAGATTTCTACGACTAGGGGGAGCTGGGAAATACTCCAGCCAGTTTTACTTCGTCAATGTGGTGTCTGACGTGCCGTCGGTTTATGGGTAACGTCACGTTGTTATTGCTATGAACAGCTAAGATTTTGTATGGGCCCTTCCATATTGGAGAAAGGGCTTTACGGAGTCTTAAATGGTTTCTTAGGTATACATAGTCGCCTACTTTATATTTAATAGGTTTGGTTTTGGAATCGTAATAGTTTTTTGATCTTTCCTTTGAATTTTGTATGTTTTCAAAGGCTTTTTCCCAGGATAGTTTCAATCGATGTTGTAGCATTCTGATGTAGTCGGGGTAAGTCGTAAGGTCTTGGCTATAGACCGAGTCAGGAATGAAGGCTTTATGGCCGAATAGTAACTCATACGGAGTGAATTTTGTGGTACTGTGAGTAGCTGTATTGTATGCGAGAATGGCTGTGCATACGTAACGGGGCCAATCATCTTGGTTTTCGTTAACGTATGACTTGAGATACTCTTTAAGAGTTGAGTGGCTTCTTTCGAGGGCCCCTTGCGTTTGAGGGTGATAAGGTGTGGACCACAGCTGTTTGATCTTCAGGAAGGTACAAGTTTTCTTAAAAAGGTCGGCTGTGAAGTTGGTACCTTGATCGGTGAGAATAGTATGAGGTATCCCGAACAGGGATATGAAGTGAACGAGGCAATCAGTGGTTTCTTCTGATGATACACTACGTAGAGGATATGCCACGGAGAATTTGGTTAAGTCGTCCTGAAGCGTTAGGATGTATTTGAGTTTAGCGGGGTCCGACTCGGGCAGGGGACCTACGATGTCTAATGCTACTCTTTGAAATGGACTAGTAGAGGAACTGGTAATTTGCATAGGTGCACGGTTGATGCGCCGGAGGGCTTTGTTTTCCTGACATAGAGAGCAGGCTTTGATATAGTTTTCTATATCTGTTTTCATGCCTTTCCAATAATACTTTTCCTTTATGCGGTTCAGCATTCTGTTGCTGCCTAGGTGACCTGCG